CTATTACAGTTTTGATAATTTAAAAAATAGTAGATAAAAAATTAAATAAAAATATTAATACAAACTCACGAGTTATAAAATTAGTCTATTAATAATAAAAATTGATGTTATATGTCTGTAATAGTGTCCACATAGGATTTAAAAGGCTCAATTCTATTGGTATATATCATCATATGTAGTTAATTATATATTAAAACTAATTTAATTTCGTTTATATTGTTATTAATAAATTTTCAAAATTTTAATTAATTTTATTTTGCTGTTATTAGGAAATTTTCAAAAAATTTAGATAATTATTAATAAAAACGAGTTTAACTATAAAGATATTATTTTCCTATTAACAATAAAAAGAAAATTAACATATTATTAAATTAAAAAAACATATAAATTATAAAAAAATATTTCATTGGTCCACATTATTTTTTGTAATTAATTATATTTTTTAAGTTAATTATTTGTTTTCTGACTTATCAAAAAAAATTCTGAATTCTAATAGTATACTAACTAATCTATATATATAAAGTTACCTTTTCACACTTCTGGTGCTGCCACCTCAGCAACTACATCATTAATTGTTTTTTATTTAATTTTTTCTAAAAGGCAAAATAACATTTACATCATTAATTGTATTTCATTTAAATTCTTCTAAAACATAAAATAACATTCATATTTAATATAAAAATAGAAAAACGAAAAAGATAATTATAATATGTTATCAGAAAATAAAATAAAATAAAACCAAAAAATAATTATATTCATTAGCTTTAAATATTTCAAAATCCAAAGCAGAAATTTATGAGTGTGTCAAAAGAATTGATAATTAGAAAATCAGAAAACAATAAAAATTATTATTAACATTCAATATAAAAAAATAACAAACATAAAAAACAATTATAATATGTTGTTAGAAAATAAAAGATAAACAAAATACTATAAAAGAAATAATGATATACATTAGCTCTGAGTATTTCAAGATTGAAGCCAGAATTTACGAATGTGTAACAAAAATTGGTAATTTGAAAGATGAAAAATAATAAAAATTAATATTAACATTTAACATACAAAAATTATAATGTGTTGTCAGAAAACAAATAAAAACCAATAAGTAATGATATACATTTGTTATGGCTATTTTAAGATTCAAGGTGTAAATTTACGAGTGTGTGATAGGCATCGATAAGTAGAAAGACGGAAAATAATAAATATTAACATTAACATTCAATATAAAATTATAATGAGTTGTCAGAAAATAAGAAAATAATGAGTTGTCAGAAAATAAGAAAATAAACAAAATACAAAAAAAGTAAACATAAAAATGATATACGTTAGTTTTGAGTATTTCAAGATTAAAATCGAAAATTTAAGAGTGTGTGATGGGAATTTGTAATTAGAAAGAGGGAAAACAATTTCCAAAGGAAATCCAATAAAAATGGAATAGGAAATTCGGGTAACTCGAGAAATTGTATTATCTAAAATCTATTCACAAATTCTCAATAATTTGGATAAAAGTCAACTTCAACAAAATATTTTGGGATAATTCTGGAAATTCGAGGACATATTAAAAAACTCTATAATTTTAAAAAAAAAATAATTCTTAAATTAATAATTTGGATATCTAATATCATATATGTTCTTATCTGTTTGAATAAACCAAATAATCTTGAATGGATAATATTTGATCGAAATTAAGATAAGTCAAAAAATTCAAGATGGGTACATTGAAAAAAATAAACAATCACAAAATGTCCAAAACTATATGATATGATAAAAATACATAAAATGATAATCAAATCCCGCTGTTGCGTAGATCACAAACTAGAAATTTGAAAAAGATGGAAAATTCGAAAGAGATATATGTGAGAAATAGAAATCTATCTTAAAATTTTCAAAAATTTATGATACAGCAAATTTAATAAAAAAAATATATAAAAATAAATCACATAGCCGCGCGTAGCGCAGATCATCAACTAGTAAAATATAAGTTAATGCTATAGGTCTCTAAAAGTGTCCACATAAAATTTAAAAGATTCAATTATATTGGTACATCATCATCTTTAGTTAATTATATATAATAAAATTAATATAACTTTTATTTTTATTAGTAAAGTTTCTAAATATTATTTAATTTTCTTTTTGTTGCTATTAAGAAAGTTTCTAAATTTTTAGATAATTATTAATAAAATGAGTTTAACAATAAAGATATTATTTTCAATTGACAATTAAAAGAAAATTAACATATGATTAGATTATAAAAAATCATATGAATTATAAAAAATCATTTCATTGGTCCATATCATTTTCTGTAATTAATTATATATTTTTAAGTTAATTACTTTCTTCTTTTATTTTTTTAAGAAAAGTTCCAAATTCCAATATTATACTAACTAATAAAATATATAAAGATAAGCAAATCATGTAGAATAAAAAAATCAAATTAATATAAGATTAATAAAATCTGTTAATTAAAAATAACACTTTCAATTATATGAAAACCACCTACAATTAGAAATAAAATATTTTTTTACATATAATATAAATAAACTTATGTTAAAGAACATTTTTATTATGATATAATAATTTCATCATAATTGTTTGTTGTAATTTATTACAAAGATTGATTATTTAAAAATCATATTATACATATTACTTAGAAAAATTAAAACTATTTGAAGGCAACAATATTCATTTATGACTTGAAACAACCAATACATAACAAGAATGAAGTTAAAGACGATGCCAAAAGTTATTTTCTTTGGTTAAAATAATTAAAGTATTATTGTTTATTTTCATGTCAATATTATGTTTATTAAGTAGAATTTATATTTTTACACTTTTAGGTGACTTTTTGGTATATTAAATTACAAGTATTTGATGAGACACTATAAAGAAAAATAGAAAATTATGATTTGAACAACTTTATGTCATTTTTCTAGCATTTACAAAAACAGATAGACTTTTGCTACAAAACTTGATCTATACTATATTTTTATATGATAAAATGCAATCTCAATTAGATTTTGGTATATCCAAAAAAAACTCGTGTATTTCAAAGATATTTAGTATTGAAAGATTGATCGATTTTTATTTGTTAATTTTGTTTCAAACTAGAAATATAAATACTTGAACTCATTTTAGCTGATGTTCTAACTAACAATACACAAATTAACAAAATTAATTCATAATTAAAAATATTATTTAATACATAAATTAAAATATTAAATAAAGTAAAAATGGAAGACAAATAGTCAAAAGAGTTAACTTATTCTTGGTGAAATCAAATAATAAATAATAAGTAAAAAAAAGAATTAATATTCAAACTTAAAATATTTTAGCCTTTGGTAAAAAACTTTTGAACTTCTTTAACTAAAATGTTTTTTAATTAATTATAGATTAAAAAAATGAAAATTTATATATATAAGAGAATCAAATAAATTGGGATGAAAAACCTTTGATCATTAATTAAAATAAAGCAGAATGAGTATATAGCATTTTAGTAAGACATCTTATAAAGTTAGAGAAAATATTTCTATATAAACGGTTATTTTTGTTGACAACTTCATATAAAAATTCTAAAGCAAAAAATTATTTGAAAATTTATATATTATTACAATCTAAAAATAAATCATCAAAAATATTTTAAAATCAAATATGTTTGTGTTATTTATCTATTAGTAATCCAAGTTGTTACGAGTAATAAAATTTAAAAAGAAAACAAAAACAGTTTTAAATATTTGATAAAATTAGATACAATTTCCTATTTAAATTAGTTAATTATTTTAAATAATAAGTAAAACAAATAGTTATTTTGCGATGAATTCTAATATAAAATATATATTAATCAAAAATTTAAAAATAATCATAATTTTTAAAAAAATATTAACTACAGAAAAATTATTAAATAACTTTTTTATAACCATACATTATATAAAAAATAGTATTATATTTTAAGTAATGTAAAAGTTATTCAAACAAAATATATATTAAATAATTTATAACATATACTCGCGCATAGCACCAATGATAAAACTAGTCATTGAAATAAAGATTAATTTGTAGGTCAATAAAGATTAATTTGTAGGTCTATGTAACCTATACCATACATTTTCTTTGAAGTTTTGTTATAAGCAAATCTTGATCAAAGCCTCATAAATTGCAAAAAAAAAACAGATAAAATAAGCCAAATTCTCAAACATTGTTCTATTTGACGAAATTTACAGTGTCTTTGATTTTACCAAAGAAACTAGGAACCATTCAGAAAACATTATCCCTTAATCATCTCTCTTACTCACAAATCCAAAAACAACAGTAGCATTTTTAGTGAGATATTTTCGAATATATCCACATCGTTCAGCCGCAAGAATCAAATCCTGATACCATAAATAACCATATCATTCAAACCCCACAAGTAGAATCAATCACCAAAACAAAATTTTAACAAAGAAATTAGAATAAATAGCCTTACTAACTATAAGAGGTCGAGCAAAAAAATGAATTACCTAATGAAACCCAGGAGTTCTTCAATACGAGTCTTATTTGCTATTACTTAACATAACGTTTCAACTATGATACAGTCTCAAGAATGACTCAATCATGCCAGTCTCTTATGTTCCCATCTTTCGACACCATATCATGTGAGCATCACCAAAACAAACCTAACAAGAAGCAAGAACTCACTAGTACCAAAACCATTACAAAGACTATTCAAGTTATCTTCAATCATCAAGAATGAAATAGAGAATCATCATCATAAGTAATCTTAGTGAAAACCCAATAGTACTAATCAATTTTAACTTGCATAATCATCAAGAATGAAACAGAGAATCATCATCAATCAACAACACATCAGCTGAAATTTTCTTCTGTTTCATTTCTCCAACATTTACATTCATCATCAAAAGAACACAAATGGAATTGGTTAATTTAAAAACTCCTAAAGGTAAGCAATTCAATATTATGATTCATTCTTTCAAAAGAAATAAACTCACTTTTTTTCATTATTTTCAATAAGATTTGCATCTCTTTGACGGACCAATCATCTCCCCTGAACCCCTACTCGCCGGAATACCAACCGCCACATCATCGCAGTAACTCCTGACGTATCTCCTCCTCCGAAAAGCTCCATACCGGAAAGTAACCGTAGAATCAATCCTCAAATCGAACTCTACCCTTCCTCCAGATCGATCTTCCAAAATCGAATTAGTCATTCTACCGTCGACGTAAGTCCCGGCGACAGAGAGAGTAGCGTTAACCGGAGTCTGATCTTTCGTCCCTTGATCGAAAGGCTGTAAACGCGTATCGGAGAGAGAGATACGGCTGGGGCGGTGGTAATACAGAGTGAGGAAGACGGTGTCGTATTGAAGCGACATCTTGGAATTAGGGTTTCGAAATTGGAGCTGTAGATCCCATTTTCCGCTGAGGTGATTGTTGGAGACGTTGAAATTGGACACGGAGAGGGAGTTGATGTAGACGTCGGGATACTGGGAACGGAAAACGAGCATGAGGATGAAGAGGATGAGTCCTAAGATTAAAATAAAGACGAGGAAGGCGATGAAGAGACGGCGGAGTAGGATGGCGCGTGGATTTGGCTGCGGCGCGTAGTAAGGGTTGTGGTTTTGGTATGGATAAGCGGTCCCGGCGTTGGGAGGGTAACCGTTAGCGGAAGCGGCGGGTTGTTGCGGCGGGTCCGGGTAAGGATGCGGATATGGATACCCAGTGGCGGGTCTGGGATTCGGTTCTTGCTGCATAACTTGATTTGAAATCTAGCGATTGGAATCGGAGAAGATGAGAGAATTTGATTTTTTTTTCTTCTAGTGAATGAGAAGAAGAAAAAAAACTGTTTAAGTGGTAAGTAAAAACATAAGTTCGCCTAGTTTCTCTTCCAGGCTCGATCCCCCAGGTAGCCGTCTTCGAGTTAAGATGAGCCTTTTCCGTTGCAGCTCCACTGTTTGCTCCCCCTCTACCTGAAGTTCTCTGTCCTTTTCTTTTCCACGATGGGTTACATAGCTGATTCTCCTCTGTCAGCGGCTCAGGCCTCTGCTAGATTCATCACTGTCAAGTAAGTTTCTTCTAGCTTTTTTCGAACCACCAGATCCGCCAGATTCTTCCTTAAGCTTCGATTCTCTCTCGGTCCACGTCACCTCTGCCACCTCGTCTCATCTCCTTCTCGCAAGTCCTCAAGCCGCCTCTCTATCTCATCACCTGGCTGCGTTACCATCTCTCATCTTTCCCCAAGTTTGCTCTCATTCCTTATCTTCTGCCTCTCCAAGCTTGGAACAGCAGTATGCAGGATGGGAAATGCCTGATTTGTGGATTTTGAGTTGATTCGGTTTCTTCTGCCTTAGTGCGGTCTTTTACTGCAATATGCAGGTTCTGTCCCGATTTCAATTTGATGAAAGCTTATCTCAATAGCTTCCTCTCATTGAATCCGGTTTTAGACTTCTATAGTCCTCTTCTCTCCTTTACAGAGGCTTTTTTCTTCCTACATTATTCACTTGTTTTAAGTGTTTCAGGGAACATTGAGTCAAAAGTTGTTCTGGCTAGAACAAAAGTCATGAGACTATTAGTCTCTTGTTCAGTAATTAATATTGCTGATGGCTTCATCTTTTCTACTATGGAGACTGTATTCCCTTTTCTTGGCAGTGTGGTTCAAGACAGCAATATTCGCTTTTGTGAGGTTGTTTTGGTTGAGCTTGTTAGCTCTTTTATATCCTTGGTTGAGCTTGTTAGCTCCCACTTATCTCTTTATTTCTGCATGAGTTATTTTTGTTGTCTTCTCCTTGTCTTGTGCTTCAACAATCTACTGTATTTGACTCTTACAGCTTGTTATATCAGCTTCCTTTGGAGATAAAACTTTCTTAATCTAATGAAAAACTTGTTTGACCAAAAAAAGTGGTAAGTAAAAAAAAACCAAAAAAATCATTAAACTGAATTCTACAAAAGTCATTAAATAAAATAGTTTTTTTTTAAACTCATTCTTTTGAAATAAGTGAAATAAATAGAATAAGAAAATATAATGTAAAAATATTTCAGATCTAAAACATATAAAAATAAATGGAATAAAGATAATTTCAATAAAAAAGTATATAACTATTCAGTTTATTTTTTTATCCCATAATTTTCTTTATTCCATTTTCTTTATTTTATATATTTTGTTAGTTCTTCTCATTTATAATATTCCTAAAACTGAAATTTCAAAATTTAGCCATTATAAACGTCAAATTTTTGTATGAAAAATGAAAAAAATATAGCCATTTTTTCTAAGTGAATATTATAAAGAAGTTATCAAATTTCATTTTTATCTTGTATTAATCAAAACTCCTATAAAATATACTAATTTACGGTTTTACATAAAAAAAATAAAAGATATATACAAAACATAATTGGTTTTATTATATTGTAATAGAAAGTTGAAGCAATTTCTATAAGTGAGACTTTGTTTATTTTTGGATATTTTGTTCTTATGGCATTTGGTAGTCAGAAGTTTCAAATTTTATCACAAATTTGTATGCAAAGTTGATAAAATAGATATGAACTGTATGAAATCTTTTTATGGTCTATCTCATTACTGCTTCGTATCGTGAGAAGGTTATGAGCTATGACCTTATCATAAAGTCTTATCTCCTTCTCCATACTCTCACCATTGTATTTGTGCACTTTCTATTAATTTTGATTCACCTCTTTTCATCATTATTTAAACCTGATCTTTTTTGATTTTGTTTGTTAAGATGAACCTGATGAAAATTTTCCTTCCATCATTAGCTAAATCCGATCCTTTGTTCTTATTGCATTGAGCGTTCTCCAAACAATTTTCTTGTTTGAGAAAAGACTTAAAACTCTTGAGGCTTCGACATATCTATATGTATATGTATTTACCTCTTATACTTGTGAGACGCTATGTTATGTTCTTAGCCTGTAATAGGCGCCCTCATTATTATATTTTCACTTCCTTTCATGTAGGATGATGCCTCGCAACAGCTTAATAGTATCTCCTGCATTACCAGCCCAATGTTTAAGACTGGTATAGAAAAATAGTTTTTTGGTCTCTCTAGATATACATTGAGTTCTATTTTTTGTCTTTAAATCTCCTACCTTAGTTTAAAATAGTGTTAGGCGATGTGAGGCGTGAAATTTGTTAGTAATGCCTCTCGCCTTAGGCGTTTCAGGCGATCGCCTTATAGAAACGAGTCGGACATAATCATCACACATATACATAATAATGCATTCATCCATCGTAATAATGAAAACAGCTAACAAGAAAAAAATCAAAAACACCAAATCCAAAACACCAAAACACAAATCCAAAACCAAAACATAAGTTGAAAACCGAAACACAGTCACAAATCTAAAACCAAAGCACCAGCTAAAACCGTAGCCTATAGTAGGATGATACTTATATATCATCATCGACATCCTCATAACTAGCATGTTATCCTCATAACCTAAATTATCTTCAGCAGCAGCTCCCTCCAAACCCTCTTCCATCTCAATCTCATCATCATCAACCAATGACATAACATTAGAAGATGAGGCAGATGGTTTGCGAGATGTTTGTCGAGTCGAGTGTGTTTGCCGAGTGGTGGGTGTAACGCTAGTAGCAATACTCTTACCTTTGGCCAATCTTAAAGCTGTTGCGGCTCTAGTAGCATAGCTAGGTTCTTCAGCCGTCTTCCATACCAAATTATCATCTTCAAACAGAATCTCATCATTTCCATCAGAATCATTTCCATCCATTCTCCCAGTTAGCCATTCATTGCAATCATCAATCTCATCCAAGCTAATAGGACCAACTGTGTCACTGATCTTGTATCGGCGTTGCAACGCACGGTTATATTTTACAAAGACCATATCATTTAGTCGACTTTGTGCCAATCAGTTTCTTTTTTTGGTATGAAGCTGTTACAAATAACTCATATAAGCTAGGATAGATAGTTTTAGTATGTATTATGTAACTGAAATTAGTAAGTAGAATTAAAGTGACTTACAAGTTGGAAAACACCCCAATTTCTCTCACAACCAGTAGCACTACAAGTGAGACTAAGAACCTTGACAGCAAAGTTCTTAAGATCTGGAGTTGAAGATCCATAGCAAAACCACCATTCCGCTATTAAAACAAAATCATTATTAGCGTAAGAAAAAATTTCGTAACACACAAGTAAATAGATTCATATAAATATGTAATAAGATAAAACCTGGTGATTTTGTTGCTCTATGCCTAATTGCCATAGAATGACCAAACATTCCAGTTGCATTTTTAAATGCATCAATCTCTGTCATTATCCTGTCTTGAATGGCGGCATTCGGAACCAGTTTCATAATGCAATTGTACAAGTCCTTCTCAACTTCCTCACAACGTACATCTTGAGAATGTTGATACTGGACATCTGGATTAAAAAAATAGCCAGCTGCATGCAGAGGTCGATGAAGCTGACAATCCCATCTTTTGTCAATGATCTCAAAGGCAAGTTTGTATTTCTCTTCATTCATATTGAAACTTGCTGAGAACGCTTCTTTAGCTTTATCCATTTCTGCATATATATATCCCATAGATGGCTTTCTCTCTCCATCAACCATCCTGAGTACCTTAACCAGCGGACCTGACAACTTAAGTGTATAGAGAACACTTTTCCAAAAGCTTTCTTGCATAATAAACTGTTTTACTTTCTTTCCTCCCTCTTCTTTTGGCCATTTGGAATCATTCCATTCTTGTGATTGAACCATCGATCTCAAATTCTTGTGTTGCTTATGATATTGCACCATGGTGATGAAGCAGGTAGCAAATCTAGTAACAGCTGGCCTATGCAAATTTCCTTGATTTGTGAACTTCCTCATCATGTTCACAAGAGGGACATGGCTATAAATATAACCATTCATAAATATGCACTTCTTCAATGCATTCTCACTTGCCATAATACTCCAATATCCTCCAACATCAGATCAATGCAATGTGCAGCACATGGAGTCCAAAAAAAATTTGGTCTCCTTTCCTCTAGTAATTTGCCTAAAAACGTTTTTGAAAAAAAAAATCAGATTCAAGCTACATTAAAATTCAAGAATAAAGATGATGTATCGATCTTACCAGCTTTCACATAGGCTGATGCGTTGTCCGTTACAACCTGAACAACATTTTCCTCTCCAACTTCTTCAACCATATCATCAAGCAATTTAAATAATAATTGTGAATCTTTCACAACTTCGGAAACATCTTTCGATTTGATGAAGACAGAACCCCTTGGAGAGTTGACAAGGAAGCTTATTATATCCTTCTTGACAACTGAATCACACCAACCATCAGACATAATTGAACAACCTTTGGTTTCCCACTCTTCTCTATGCTCCGCCAATTGATTAACAGTATTCTCAACTTCTTTCTTAAGCAGAGGAACCCTTAGCTCATACATACTTGGTGGCATCATCTGAATAGTAGCTTTTGCTGCTTCTTTTTGCATCATATATTTCCTCACTTCTTCCCTAGCATGCTCCGGACAATAAGGACATTTAGTCACACTCGAAAATCCTCCAACCAAGTGCTGTTTTAGACAAAAAATTCCTCCCTTGACCACTTTAGGACCAAAGTGACACTTCCAGTTGTTTTTATTATTAGGATCTCGAGTTCTATACTTGCTTCCCCGATCATTAGATTGCGATTAAGATATGGTGAGAAAAAAATGGACAACTATGATCTGTATTTTGGAAACGTGAGAGAAAAAGAGAAGAAACAGAGAACGTGAGATGAGAGCAAGAGAGA